TTAATAAGTGTTTATTCCATGTTTCCAAGATAATTATCTTGGAAACTCGGAAACTCAGAAGGTCAATTTAAGCTTCCGAACGCACGTGCTGTCTAACAATTTTTTTAATATACTTTAACACTGTTGTTTTGTGGGAACTAAACATCAATATCCAAAGGTCCGGGGCTTAGCGGAAAGCTCGAGTTGTATCTCGTGTTATATCGGTTTGTCCTGTGTTATGCATGTCAGGTTATTAAAACTATATGTATAGCCTAGTTGTAGTGTGGTATACAGTATGTATTTTACAAACGAGACGAATTAAATATACAATAATATTTTCAGAAACTGGAGAGATATGCGGTGGAACAAGAGTTAGATTTAAGGGACAATGCATAGGAGCAGTTTCTAGCAGTCACCCGGACGCTTGCCACATCTTTGCAGAACACAGCCACAAGTTGAAAATCGATGGCGTCAAAATGCAAAGTTTCCTACAAAATAACTTTGAAAGTGTTGAGATTGATTCCTATCGGTATTACAGAATTGGAGTTGAAAGCAGTAACGATACAACAGCCACATCTTTGCGATGGCATGACGCAACACCGCTTGTGTATGAAAACTGGATTGAGCCACCTAATATTAATTCCAACTCAACGTGCGTCTTACTGGACCGCTTTTCGATGTTGCAATGGACCACTTTTGACTGTGCAACTGGAAATTTAATTTTTGCAACATTATGCCAATTTGGTAGGACATGAATAGGCCTACTTAAAATATCTATTAAATAAGGTCTATCTATTTTTCGTTCGTTAGTAGGCATATTTCATTTGAATAACTCATATATCGAGTGTGTCTAGGCATAAGGTTTCTTTGCCTTCAGAACACCTCACGTTTGGTGGCTAACATTTGAATTTACGAACTAATATCTGATAGATTTATGGTATCATATATTACATATTTTCATTTCTGTTTAAAAATTTTTTTTTTGTGCCTAGATTTAAACGAGTGTTTTGGAAGTGAAAGTTTATGTGAGACATGCGTAAATGTTCCTGGTTCCTATTACTGTTCGTGCCCACGTGGTTATCTCCTACATGAGAAAGATGGTCAAGAATGTGAAGGTAAGAAAAGTTTATTGTAACTTTGGCTTTCAATAACCATTCCAGTGTTTAGTTTATTTGTGAAGTTTGTTTTTTTACTATCTGATTTAAATGGTACCAAAGTAACTATCAAATGCTCATTTTTTCTCGTATTTGCTAGATAATCTAGCATTCATACATAGCCTTATTTTATTTGGTAGGTCTACTAAATACCCAGCAAAAATAGTTCCCCCTATCGAATTTTCAGTTTCATTTGAAAACCCATTGAATCTTAATTGTAAGGCAGAGATCTTAATTTTTGACTTTTATATTAACGAGCACACCCAATTATCTCTATTACAGAGGAATCGAGAAAAAAAAAATCTGTTTTCGGTTATCGTTAACAATACCTAGCAAGAAAGTCCAAGTACTGATGTATATAGATAATATAGAACGATGTGTAGATATGAAAATGGATAATGCAACTCGCAGTTACTGTTGCCTCTTCTCGTTAAAATACAAAATGTGAGGCAATTAATCCATGACGTAAACGTATAATGCTTTCCATTGTTAGATGTGAAAGTGCTTAGACCATTAAAACACGTGTTAATACACTTTCGTTTGCCTTTTTGAAGACATTTGTCACCACCACATAGAGCATACTGGATCAAGTGTTTCACTTCTTCAACTCAATGAAACGTGTTACACTACAGATTATACGGCTGTGAATTCAACTACAAGTAAACATTTGTGCAGTAGTATGGAAAGTTTGATAGAGGAAACAGATATTCAGGTAGCGCACTGTGGGAATATTAATTTAAAGAAAAGGCTGTGGCTATTGTTACACCAGTCTCAGGGGCGGATCCAGAAATGTCCAAAAGGGGGGGCCGGAAGCGGGGACCGAAAGTTGGGCCGATTGAGACAACACTGTCGTAGGGGGTCTGGGGCATGCCCCCGCGAAATTTTTGTGTCCTAGACGCCCGAACATAATATTTGAGGCATTCTGGGCTATCATTTTTTTCTTTTTCTCTCTTTTTTTTTCTTTTTTTACCTCCCAAAAGGGGGGCCGGGCCGCCCCCCCTAAATCCGCCCCTGAGTCTTGAGCCAATTTTGTAGTTAAGATTGGATGTTATTGAAATTAATAATTGGTGTAACAAGGGCCACTGGCTAAAGATAAATCGTCTGTAGTTATTATTATAACGAGACATTATGTGTACAAATCAAAGACGACAGTCAAACACATTGAGACTACGATTCAAATTAGTTTTAAACATTTAAATAATTACAGATTAGACTTTAAAAATATTGTGACAAAGCTTATAAAAAATTATTCATAACAATAATACTAACATAATTTGCAAAATTGTTATAGGCTATTACACAACTGAACGTGACTTCATCGTGGATTGATAATAACGCTGCATCCTGCACAGTTCTCAAGGCAGAATCAAATGGATCTAGTGTGTCTAATGTCAGCTGTTCCGAAGAATACCCGGCAGTTTGTAAAC